CCTCCTGCTGTCTTCAGTACAGAGACACCTCCTGCTGTCCTCAGCACAGACACCTCCTGCTGTCCTCAGCACAGAGACACCTCCTGCTGTCCTCAGCACAGAGACACCTCCTGCTGTCCTCAGTACAGAGACTACTACAGTACTGACTTCTTGTCTCCGCCTGCGTCTCTGCCAGCCTTTGCTGGGTTTTGTCTCCGTCCTGCCCCGTCCCTCGAGAGGTGGAATCATGTCCAAACAGGAAGAGACTCTGTCTGTGCACAAAGGCTGCAGGCCGCCCCGCTCACTTCCTCCTGTGGTCACAGGTAACCGAGCAACAGCCAATCAGGAGGCAGCAGGCGTCACAGCGTTTCAGGGACGTCAGTCTCTGAAAGACGAGTCAGACGATGAACTAAACGATAAAAACGGGCCGATCGTGTCGAGTTACGACGTTCGAGCAGCTGCTCATTAAAGATGGAGGGAGTTTGATAATGAAGGTTTTCAAGTTTGTCGACGGTTGTTACAGACATCACCGACGTCAGATGAGGGTTTTAAGACAAAGACGAGTGTTTGGGTGGGTTTACCTGAGGCTGGGGGGGAGGCGAGGCTCCTTGGACCGGAGCAGGTCTCTGATGGAGAACGGTGTGAAACTGAGACAACTTCTCTGAAAGAGACAAAGAAAAAACACATAAATGTGCAATAAACTGCAGCCAACATTTAGTTCCCACCATGACGCTCATCAAACCCAGTGGTAAACAGTCGTCCTTCAGAAACATCTACGCTGACGAAACATTTTATGATCTGAGATCAGAAGGAACGTTACAGCTGCTGCCAGAGGCTGTAAACAAGACACGCGGTCCTCCGTCGCTGCAGGTTTGAACAGCGAATGTTTGTTGTTTTACAGACGAGTGTTTTCCTGGACTGCAATCAAACAGGTAGTGAAGTAAACCTAAATGTTTTTGGTGCAAGATATTCCAGTGGGTTGCACAGAAGGACGGATCCTGGAGAGGAGGAAGCAGTTTTATCCACCTCCAGGTACAGTGCAGGCGCCAGGGGGTGGCCAACGGTGGCCTTGACCACAGTAGATTATTCTCCGGCCACCCCAATCATTTGAGGAAACAATTCTT